CTCTCTCTCTCAGTCCCGAAATTGTACCTGTAACATTCCTCGTGCAATTCACATGGTTCTTTCTCGAACTGCAGCAATTCTGAGCAGGTAACGGGATTAGAGACCCAACTGACAGCCCCACCCCTCCTGTCTCAGGGACCGGCCTAAGGAGGTGCTGCCCACCTTGGATGAAGATTGAGCGTCTTAAAGGAAAGGGGTGGGTGGATCTACCTCCCTCTCCGGTCACTGAGACCGGGAAGCCACCTTCGGTCCCCTCCACACGGACGGGGGAGAAAGCAGGCTTGGCTCGGTGTGTTGGCTTTCAGCTGCGGGTCAAACCCCATTTGGGGATCCGCGTTTACCGTCACCGGGAACCTGACTGGGGGGGGGGGGATCCCATTCGAAGGCCGTCTGGACCGCCGGCTTCCTCTGAAGCGGCGGCGGCGGCGGCAGCAGCAGCAGCGGAGAGCGGGGACTCTCCGGCCTATCGAGGCAGGCAGAGGCAGAAAGCCTCCCGCTTCCCCTGCAGCCCCTGCCCAAACGGATCCCCGCGGCAGAGGTGGGGACCGGCAGGGAAGCCTGGGAGGACGGGGGCGGAAGGAGGGGCGCGCCTGCCCTGCTTGAAGCGGCCACGGACCCGGGCAAGAGCGCCCCGGCCGTGCGGGGCTGAAGGAGCTGCCAGCGCAGAAGGAGCCAGGAGACCGAAGGGCGCCCCGGGTCGCTTGGCTGTGTCGGGGGACCCCTTCGCGCCACCCGGCGGATCTCAGGGCCGCAGAGGGCGGGAGGGCGGGCGGGCGGAGCGTCCGTGGGCCGCTGCTCCGGCGCGGGGTCCTACCGCCACCGGGGGCGCTGTTGCGGCCCAGCCACCCGGAAGTGGCGCCTGCAGAGGCGAGCGCGGCGGCGGCGGCCATGGCCTCCAGCAAGCGGGTTCTCTACGTGGGTGAGCGGCGGCGGCGGCGGCGGCGGGGGTGTGTGGGGGGGAGGGGGGCTGCTGGGGCCTGGGCTCTCGGCCTGACCGGGCTCGTTGCAGGTGGGCTGGCCGAAGAGGTGGACGAGCGGGTGCTGCACGCGGCCTTCATCCCCTTCGGAGACCTCACCGACATCCAGATCCCGCTGGACTACGAGACCGGTGAGGGCTGGCGGGGGCGGGGCGGGGCGGATGGCTGACACCCCCACCGGCCACCCTGCGGGAGAGGAAAGGCAGGCCTCGCCCCGGGCCGAGAGCCGCGTTGCCTCGGTGGGAAGAGCGCAGAGCAAGCAGTTTGGAGCCGGGGGTCATTTAGCCCAGCCCCCCCGCTCAGGCAGGAGACCCTGGACGGCCCCCCAGACCAGGGGCGCCCCGGCCTCTCCTCCGAAGCCTCCCGTGATGGAGCCCCCCCCCGCCCGCTCATTGCCCTCCTTAGTTCTAGGTTGCTTCTCTCCTTGGCTGGTTTCCTCTCCGGTGCTTCTGGTCGGGCCCTCCGGTGCTTTCGAGGAGGGGTCGCCAACCGTTTGGAGCTCAGGGACCCCCAGACTCATAATTTTAGATCCCAGGGACCACTAACCGGTTCTGTGGGCGTGGCCTAATTTGTGGGTGTGGCTTGGTGGTCACGTGACTGGCTGGACATGGCTTGTATGCAAATATTATAAATATATAAATATTGAATTTTTTATAAAAAAAGGGCAACTTTTACCCAAAATCAGGCAAAGCAGGCAGGCAGATTGAGTTGTTCACAGAATCACAGATTCATTCAGAGATCTATCTATCTGCCATTGGCTAGCTCAGTCTGTCTCATAAAATTTGATTGCAAGCCAACTCACAAAATTAACTCACAACACACCATGCATGTAAATATTGAATTCTTTATTTTTTAAAAAGCAACTTTTACTCAAAATCAGGCAAAACAGGCAGATTCAGTTGCTCACAAAATCATTCAGTGATCTATCTGCCATCGGCTAGCTCAGACTCTCAAATTTGTTTGACTTGAGTCTGCACTGAATTTGCTCCTAAGGGAGGTTTCGGCTGTACTTAAAAGCAGAGACAGAGTCTAAAGACTAGCTAGAAAGCAAGAAATCCAACCATTTCTCGCTTCCTAGCTACTCTAAATCAGATGATGGTCGGAAAAAGGAAAAATAGAAATTTAACAGGCAAGTTTGCTGGGTAAGGAGTGAGTGGGCAGGGAGGGTTCCCATGGGCCATGTCGGCTGCGCAGCCTTGTATTTCTGCGGAGCCTGGATTAATTCCTCTGGGGGGATGCTCTGGGAGTGAGATTTCTCTGCGGCCCACCAAAATTTTCTGGGCTGTGGCCCACCAGTTGGCGACCGCTGTTTTGGAGGATAGGTGGACCCCTCCCTCTTCTTTGGGGAAGCCACTCAAATATTGCTTCCATGTCACGCCAGTCCTCCTCTTTTCTTTTTAAGCTAATATTTTTCTTCAACTTTCTCTTAAGAGAGATATGTTCAAAGATATTTTCAATAATTTACAAACTTTAGGATTTACTTAAACATTATATATAAAGGGAAAACACATTTTCAAACTTTAGATTAAAAATTTCAATTACAAATACCGATAAAAATACATCTTCCAATTGACTTATTAAGTTTAAGTCATTCTTTCCAGCTTGTCTTCATGGAATAAAATATTTTTCTTCTCTGGAATGTCAAGTAGTTAGTTATAAGTTTCTCTTTTTCCCAAGCATTTCTCAACCTTGTTAACATCCATCAGGAAGAAGTCCCAAACTTGTCCTTTAAAAAGTCCTTTAAAAGAGCTCTTCTTTCAATTGTTGGGAGGCTTCTATTTAAACCATCATAATCAAAATTGGTCTAGGCTCAGGACTCTTCAATAAATGATTTAGATGAGGGAACAGAAGGGGAACTCATCAAATTTGCAGATGACACTAAGCTGGCAGGAATAGCCAATATCCCAGAAGAAAAACTCAGGATCAAAAAAGATCTTGACAGGGTTGAGCAATGGGCCTATGCAACAAAATGTAATGTAATGTGGAAAAAAGCAAGGTTTTACACTGGGCAGAAAAACCAAAGGTACAAAAGTACAGATTAGGTGAAACCTGGCTCAAAAACAGTAACTTGTGAGAGGGAGCTTGGAGTGCTACATAAACACGAGCCAGCCGTGTGTGGCAGCAGCAAAAAAGCTAATACAGGCCTTGGTTGTATAAACTAAGGCATAGAATCAAAATCAAAATGAAGTATTAGTATCACTTATAAAGCTTTAGTAAGGCCACACCTGGAATACTGCATTCAGTTTTGGTCGCCATTTTACAAAAAAAAGTTGAGACTTTTGGAAAAAGTGCAAAGAAAAGCAACTAAAATGATTAAAGGCCTGGAAAAAAAAACATATGAAGAACAACGGTTGCACGATTTGGGTTTGACTAGTCTAGAGAAAAGAAGCGGGGACATGATAGCAGCCTTCCAGTATTTGAGAGGCTGCCACACAGAGGAGGGGCGGGGGTCAACTTTTTTTTTTCAAAACACCAAAAGGCAAGACAAGAAACAATGGATGGAAACTAATTAAGGAGAGAAGCAACCTTGAACTAACAAATTTCCCAACAGTGAGGACAATTAACCGGTGGAACAGAAGTTGCCTTCAGAAATTGTGGGTGCTTCATCACAGGAGGCTTTTAAGAAAAGACCGGACAGCCATTTGTCTGAAGTGGTGTTGGGTCTCCTGCTTGAGGAGGGGGCTGGACTAGAAGACCTCCAAGGTCCCCTCCAGCTCTGTTCTGATTGAGGTTGGAAAAGAGATTGTACAAACTTGGGTTGGGCTGAGTAAAAGGTTGGGTTCTGTCTTCGCTCCAGGATAGAAACTGGTTGGAGGCCAGCAGTGCCCCTGTGCCCTTGAAACAGGTGGGGTGACAAGGAGACGGAGAGCATCAAAACGGTGCAGCTGTTGCCACGACTCTTCCCGCTCCTGACACCCATTTTCCTTTGTCAAAGGTCCAAAAGGTTTCAGTTGATTTCCATGTCGAGGTGAATATTGAGGCCTGTCTCCTCAAGTGCTGACCGTTGTCGTTTCTCTTGTGTCTACAGAAAAACATCGAGGCTTCGCTTTCATTGAATTTGAGCTGGCCGAGGTGAGCCAGGAAGGGTCTTTCTCCTTGCTTGGGGCCAGGTGGATCCCTGAGCCCTTGGAGGGACTGCACGGGATCCCCATTTGCGCAGGGGACATCTCTGGAAAGGGCATTGATCAATTCCCAGAGCATGGGTATGTCTGAAGGCCAATTTTGCCCGGCCCTCCCAAAGGGGGCTGCTTTTGAGAGAAGGCGCTTCCACGCTGGCGAGGGACGTTTCCAACCACGTCCGCCTTTAGCCCTGTTCAAACGTTCCTGTGTGTCTTTGCTATCAAAATTCCAAGCAGGGCACCAGCGAGGATTGGGAGGTTGCTTAGGAGGAGCTTCCCTAGCAGCTTTTCTAGGAGCGTTTGCATGCTCTCTCCAGCTTGCCCACCTCGTGGCCAGAGGATTTCTCTCAGTGCAGTCCTTGTTGCCATGGACACAGCAAGGCGGAAGAGCGATTCTGTCTCAAAAGGTTCCTCTTCTTTCTTTTAGGATGCTGCAGCTGCCATTGACAACATGGTACGTTTATCTTTCCATCTTTATTTTTCAGCAGTTTAAAACATTTTCCTTCTTTCTTCCCAAGTGGTTGAGATGATTAGGGGAAGCTGAGCCTTTCTCGGGGAGTTTTTTTTTTTGGGGGGGTGGGGGGTGAGAAACAGCAGGTCTTTCTCCTTGGCCTCCACAAGTGGGCAACTCCTTTCAGGAAGCCGTGGAAGACAGAAGGCCTCCTTGCTTTCTGCTCCTGGAGGAGCGAAGGCTTCCACTTGTTGGGATTTTCATAGCCAGTTTTAAAACCAGGTAGGCAGAAGCCTCTTTGCCCCTGTGAGGGGTCCTTCCGTGGGGCCAGAGGGAAGTTGAAGCGGTGGAGACACATGATATGAACCTGGGTGCTAAGGCACCGGAAGAAGGTTCCAGGCGATTGTTGCAGGACACAGAAACACAGCATTGAGACTGAGCTGAAGTCCTTGGCAAGAGTAGAACAGAACAGTGCAACAGAGTTGGAAGGGACCCTGGAGGTCTTCTAGTCCAACCCGCTGCTCAAGCAGGAGACCCTGGACCCTTCTGGATATGGGCTGCAGTCTCTTCTGAAAACCCCCCAGGGATGGAGAACTCAACTTCTGGAGGCAATCCAGTCCACTGGTTAATCGTTTTTACCGTTAAGAAATTTCTCCTTGCTTCTCTCCGTTGGTTTCCATCCGTTGCTGCTTCTCCTGCCTTCTAGTAGGCAGTGATGGTGCCCCCCTCCTCTCCCTCCCCGTTTAGAACGAATCTGAGCTGTTTGGAAGGACCATCCGTGTCAACCTGGCCAAGCCAATGAGGATCAAAGAAGGCTCCTCCCGTCCAGGTGAGCAGCAGCAGGTCCGAGGGAACCTCCAGCCCTCAAGCACCTGGGCTTGTTCTGAGGGAAGTCCTTCGGCTCTCCTGGTTTTATAAGTGGATCGGTGCTCGGATCACGAGCTCCCTGAACTACTTCTGTTTTTCCGTGACAGTCTGGTCAGACGATGACTGGCTGAAGAAGTTTTCGGGAAAGACACTTGAGGAGAATTTGGAAGAAGGGGGAGCCGCGGCAGCCTGCTCAGAGGTTCAAGAGGTACAGGGGCATCTTTCGGCGAGAGGCCACTTGGCCCTGGGTGGTTTCTGCTCCCAAGACATTCATCTCATCCTAAGACCTTTCGGGGGGCCAAGATGAGGGTGCATAAGAGGGGGCTTCTGTGAGCTGGGCACAAACTTAGCCTGCGGAGCCTCCACGATTGGACATGAGCGTGCGGTTGCAATATTTATTATTATCCTGCATTTTCTCCAGATGCTAAGACGGCATATATTTTCCTGCCAGCAACTCTGGGGCGAGGGGGGAACCGGAATCGCCCACTGTGATTCAACAACTGGATTTGAATCTGGATCTTTCCAGTCCATTGCTTAGCTCTGTAGCCGCCACATCACAGTGGTTCCCATCTCCTTCTCTTTCTCCGATGCTTCTTTAAAGCAGAGAAAGGAGGGGGACGGCTCATAGATTGGGATCCCCTTTTGGTTTCATGGAGGGAGCTCTGTTTCTCTTCTGTTAGGGAGAACCACCAGTGAAAAAATCCAGGACCAACCCCCAAGTTTACATGGACATCAAGATTGGAAATAAGCCTGCAGGTCGATTGCATATTCTCTTGCGGTCGGATATTGTCCCGATGACCACTGGTAAGCAGCAAAGGAATCTACTGTGCTTGGTGGAACCTTCTTCCAGTTGCTCTTGTGTTATTGGAACCTGCAGGGCTAAGTCCCTGTCCAGCGTTGGGAGGGCTCCGTCTCTGTTAAGAGACAGAAAGAAATGGGTGAATAATTCAGGCCCCTTTTCTCCAGTTGCAGCCTTCCTCACCCTGGAGCTCTCCAGGGCTGCAGCTTTGGGGCGGCCAGCGTGCCTGGAGATGCTCTTGGCTCTGGAGTTGTAGCCTGGAGGATGCCAAGCTGGGGAATGTGGCAGATGTGTTGGTCATAAGAATGTGACGGAAGCCACATTCTCAACATTTCTGGAGAATACAAAGACAGCAAATCAAGAAATAAGGTTGAATCGCCAGATGCCTGGCGGTTGCTCTGTTTCTGTGTGCCACAAGTGACCCCACTTAGAATCCAAAAGCACAGATTTTTCACTTTAAGGTTTTTGTTTTTCATCACAAAATTTCCTAAGGCTGGTATTGTGGTGGAAAAAAAAAAAGTTTCTATTTTAAGAGTTCTGGCCTGTCCCAGAATAATTGTAGCAATATTTTCCCCCCACCTTGGTGAAGACCGGAGGATGTGGCTTTCCTTGCCCCTTTTCTAAATTTACAGGATTTCTGTTGAAGTGATTGTTCAGCACATTTCTCTCTATTTCTGTACACGCTGGATGCTTGAGGGTTTTTTCAAATACTTATGAGCACAGTAGCTTTGAGCTTTTAAGTGCATAGGGTATAGTCATTTTGTAGAATTATCTCTGCAGAAATGTGTGGTTTTCAATTAGAATAGATTTCATTAAATGCCACATATTGTAATTAATTGCCTGTGTCAGGGTTTATAACTCTTTTACTGAGCCAAGCCCTTGGAAGATAGAGCTAAAGATCAAACCTAAAACAAAGACACCATTAATTTAAGGAGGTGAGAAGAGCCGAGATGTGGTGCTCCCCTCTGGATCCCATGGCAGCACCTGGAAAATGCTGGAATTCAGGAGAGCAGCAGTAATAGCAGTGAGGCCGGGTGTTGCTGGTTTCTTAGCGGTTGCCCTGACCCCGTTTTTGAGTGGGATGGTATCCTAAGAAGCCCCTTTGCCATTTCTGCTGCTTCATTGCCCAACTTGCCCTTTGACTTGCAGAGAACTTCCGCTGTCTTTGCACACACGAGAAAGGCTTCGGCTTTAAGGGGAGCAGCTTTCACCGGATTATCCCCCAGTTCATGTGCCAGGCTGGAGATTTCACCAACCACAATGGTACCGGCGGGAAATCTATCTACGGGAAGAAGTTTGATGATGAAAACTTTATCCTAAAGCACACGGCACCAGGTAGAGTGTGGCAGGGCTGCTGAAAAGTTGGGGCATCCAGGTGCTTGGCGGCAGCCCAGATGCCACTGCATCTGCTTTGCCAGGGCTTTGCCAAGACACTTGGCAGTCCTTTTGCCCTGGTGGGCATCTCTCTTCCCTTCCCTTCCCTTCCCTTCCCTTCTGCATGGCTCAAGTGCCCAGCAGCCCTGCCTCTGAGAGGAGTTGGTTCTACAAAAGCCAAATTCCTCCACAAGATTTCCACACAACTGACCCAACTGCTGGTTTGTGCATGTTTTTTTTCCAAGCCTTTGAACCATTCATTCCATTTCTCCAACCGCACCGAATAGAAGGACGTGGTTGACTCTGCAGGCGCTGCTACAGCAAGAATGGCACTGCTGGGGGCTTCCTTCCCCCTTCCCCCCCCTCCCCAGCCCTTTTTTAGGGCACCAAGCAGGTTCTTCAGCCTTTGTCCTTGCAGTAGAAACCAGTAGAACCCCAAATCTTGCTGAATTTAGTTCCCCCCAAGTTCCCCAGGCAAAGCGGTGGGCGATACCAGACCCATGTGTCCCTGCAGGGTTGCTGTCCATGGCCAATTCTGGCCCCAACACCAACGGCTCCCAGTTTTTCATCACTTGCGACAAGACCGACTGGCTGGATGGGAAGCACGTGGTCTTTGGAGAGGTGACCGAAGGAATGGACGTGATGCGGCAGATTGAGGTGAGGAGGAGGAGGAGGCTTTGTGGGAGAGCAGCCTGGCTTTGCCTCCCCCCCCCATCTTATTTCTCTCTCCCCCCAAAGGCTCAAGGCAGCAAAGATGGGAAACCAAAGCAAAAAGTCATCATCTCCGATTGTGGTGAATTCCTCTGAACGTGGCCGCAAGCAGATGCTGGTTGGGAATGCTGGATGATGGGAAGAGACCAAACAGCCTCGCCTCGCTCTGAATGGAAACTGGGGGGCTTTTCTAAGCATTCAGCCTGACTCTGTATTATGTGTTCAGAACTGTAAAACTGGGAGAGAGAACTTTTGTACATAATTTCCCCCCCGCCCCCCCCATAAAAGTACACGTATTTTTACAACAGATCTGACTTTTAATTTCCCATAATTACTGTTTAAAGGTTTGCTTTGAATTGCTTACTCATTTAACAATATTGGTCTGGTGCAACCTTTCTCAGTCTTGAGTTTTCCATTTCTTTCCATGCTGGAAATTATGGAATGGATGTGTTTGCACATGGCAAGAAACCATGTGCTGCACACTCTCTTTCAGGCAAGATCAGCTTTCACTTTTTGTTTTCATCGTGGAAGATGCAAGCAACAGCCGAGGTGAATGGTGCCATTTGTCTCTGCATCAGCAGGAACCACAGCACAAGAAGAACATGAGACTGGAACAAAAAGTGCCCTAAGATTTCTCCTAGCTGCTCTTGAAGGGGGGAGGGAACCCTCGGATGAAGTGTGTTCTAGTTCTCCCTTTGACTTGTCCGCGGCTCAGTCTGCCAGGGAAACACTCCCAAATAAATTAAACACTATCCAGGGTAGGAAGATTCCAACAAGGTATTGTACTATGGACAATTGCAAGGTTGCAATAAAATTGACTGTGATTTCGTCAGTCGTGCAGTTAAGGCTCAGAAGTACTAAGTGGCTGGAAAAGGAGACCCTGCCACTTTTGCAAGGGCCTCTTGGCTGCCTCTCCAGCCTCCAGTGCCCCCTCTCCCCCAGACCGGAAGGGAACCAGGCAAGGCACTTGAAGCACCCCAGCAGCTGCAATGTACAGCTGGGCTCAGGAGGTGGGACAGACAGCAGCCCTCCCCCTGGATATCCAAACCCAGGCGTAGAAGCAGCTCCTCCCCTGCCCCCCCCCCCCATGCACACATCAGAAAAGCAGCCTTTGGGAGGGTCGGCTGGCATGCATGCTTGCTTGTGTTGGGCTCCGTCCTCTTCCCTCCCTCTGGAGCTGCTGCCGGCTGCCGGGACTGGTAAGAGAGCCAATAGGGCCCCTGCAGCCAGTCACCATTGGGCGTTTCTGCCCCAGTTTGTTTCTGGGAGGACTAGGCAGACAGCTGGGGACCTCTGAGGGGCTGGGGGAGTTCCCAGGATGGAGAGCTGGGTGGGGGTGCCCATCAAAATAGTCCCAATGGGCAGTTGAGCCTCTCCCCTTTTATATGTGTTGCAAATATGGCACATTAGAGGCAGAATTTGAGTCACACCATGATCAGAGCCGTCTTGACAGCGGGGCTTGCTGGGTGGAGATGATTGAACCTGGTTGGAGGCTAGGCCTGTTGCAGAAAATTCCAGGCAGCTGCCTCTGCTGCCACCTGCTGCTCATCTAGGTTTCTGCAGCCCTAGTTTGGCCTTAAAATGTGGTTCAGCTTCCCCTTGGGGTTACGCCTTTGTCTGTCCTTGAGGTGATGTGTGTGGTCAAAACAGGAGCTGTGTGTTTCCTCACTGAAGACTGTACTTCCGAAAGGAGGCTCTGCTTCAACAGACCTCGGGATCATCAGGGCATGAGGCTTGAATTGCAGAGGCTCTTGGGTGCCCCCACCCCCAAACCCAGCTTTGCATCAGGTGTGAACTGGAGGACCTTTTAATCCTGAGACCTAACGCTCCTGGTGCCTGTGGGACCTCTGTGATGGAGAAGAAACCCCCGGACAAACGCCCCCAAGGAGGTTTCCCTCCCTTTCCCCGGGGCTGAGGGCATCCTGCAAGGTTGGCATTGGGTACTAAGCAGAACAACTGTGATTTTGGAAAGCGATCTTGGTGGAAGGGCACAATAACAGCACCTTGTGGAGAAGTTGGCTGGCAAAAAATCCCAGATAAATGAGGGGAAGGATTTTTTTTTCTTGACGGAATATGTAATTACGGGTTATGTTGCCTTTGTGGGAAATGAAACATTGTCAGCCTAACCCTACAGAGCTCTGTTCGGAGGTCCCCCTCTGGAGAAAAGCAGTGATCCACCGGGGGGGGGGGGATCTCACAATGCTGGCTGGATTGAGGCATTGACACCGAAAGCTCGCGGGACGGCTGAATTTGAGGCAAGACCTGTCCCCACACTGCAAGCCAGGCCAACCCACTACCTTCATAAAATCCAGACCACAATGAGCCCATTTAATTGAACCTGAGCTCTGGCACCAAGAAGCAAGTGTTGCTCGTGCAGGGGAAGGAACGTCTCTGGATCTGGAGGAGAATTACGGTGCGTGGGAAATTGCGCTCCCTGCCTCGCTGCTGCCTTCCCCAAGGGCTGCGCTGCTCTGCTCTCCTCTCAGTGGCCGAGAGAGTCCCCAAAACAGCAGCTGCAAAGCCAAAGTCCCCGGATCGGGACTTCCCTGATGAAATTGTGCCTGGATTAAAATCCCAGATTTAGGAATCAAAATGACTGGGTCCACACCACACAGTAAGGCGACCTTTTGGTGTCAAATTCTTTTGGACCTGATGTCAGGATCTCCATCGTTGGCCTGGCACCTTACTGGGTTCCGGTCATCAAAGGGGAATGGAGGAGGGAGGCTCTGGGCGCAATCCACACCTGTGTATGTAATGGTGGGAAACGGGGTGGGGGGCAGGGGTGGGGGGGAGTGACAACAGAAGAAGACCAGATCACCAAACCGGCTGTTTGCCCTGAGAATGGAATGTTACCAGTTTGACACCTGGAGTTTCTCAAAACATCATACCAGCATCTGATTGGCTGGCTGGGGCTCTGGTCATTGGGGGAAGGATTGGGGGTTGGAAAAAACAGCTGTGTGTGTTTTGCACCCGACTTCGCTGCAGCCAGTTTCTTTCAGCAACAAAAGCTCCTTCGCTTCAACGGGATGGAGTCCCGAGTCTTGCTTTCCTGATAGAGCAAACCGGGGCAGATCAGACACTTCAGCTGCTATCAGCCCGTCAAAATTTCTGGGAACTGTAATCAAAACCTGATGATTGTTGGCACTCCGGTTCTTTTATGGTGTTGGATGTAAATTTGCTTATTGACTCACATCCCATCTTGCACTGGTGGCAGGCCACCATGTGGACAGTAAGAGTTCAAACTTCCAAGTCATCATCAGACTCGGAAACTGGACTCCAGAGGACCTCTTGGAAGTTTCATGTGGATCAATCTGTCCCAATCTGGCATCTTCAGATGAGCTGGACTGTGATCAGTCCACTAAAGCAAAAAGATGGGGGAAAATGAGAGGCCACAGGGAGGAAGAGGAACTGCTTAATTCCATCTTAGCATCTGTCTACACAAAAGAAAAAGAAAAACAGACCAACCCATCAGATGTTGCACAGTGGGAGACAGAAGGAAATTTCAGGTCCGAATAGGTAAGAAATCAGTCAAAGAACACCTGTCCGCTTTAGAGGAGTTCAAATTGCCAGGTCCAGTGGTTTATATCCCAGGGTTATGAAGGAGCTGGCAGGTGTCATCTCAGAATCACTGCAATCACCTTCCAGAGCCCAGGGGAACTGCCAGAGGACTGGAAAAGAGCTGATGGCATCCCAACCGTCAGGAAGGGGAGAAAAGCAGATCCAGAAAACTATAGACCAGGGGTGGTCAACCTTTTTATACCTACCGCCCACTTTTGTATCTCTGTTAGTAGTAAAATTTCTCTAACTGCCCACCGGTTCCACAGTAACGGTGATTTATAAGGTATGGGACAAAACCCCTACCGCCCACCATGAAAGCTGGAACGCCCACTAGTGGGCGGTAGGGACCAGGTTGACTCCCACTGCTATAGACCAATAATCCATATCTCTGAAAATCCTGGGAAAGATAATCAAGCAGAGGATTTGGGAGCACCTATAAACGAGCAAGGCAGTTACTAGAAGCCACTTTCAAGGGCCCTGACACAATGGCTCTCCTGCTCCATTTTCCCTGGGCAGGTTCTACATATCAGGGCGCTGCAGGGTCGTCTGTTTTGCTTTTGGCAAAGCGCATGTGTGCTAACAGGTCATGAGGGATTTTAAAACGTTAAAATTTAGAATTATATATTATGCAACTGTAGAGATTGAGTAGATTGACATTTGAAATTAGAGAACAAGATGATAAACAATTTTATAAAATTTGGGATCTTTTCTATCAATGGTTAGACAATAAAATACAGTAATGAAATATGTAGACTTTTAGAAAATAATAAATATATAAAGATGTACTTTTTCTTATTATATCTACAAAATGATTTTAAGGTAGATTTGGGATGATATGGACTGCTATAAAATAAACTAAGTAAATTATGACTATACTGTAAAACATGAATGAATAAAAGTACAGTCAAATGATTGATTAATAATGATACTAAGGTATTTAATTTTTGATTGACAATATGAGATCATATGCAATGTAATTGTAATTGAAGACTATGAAATGGAAGCGCAAAACAATTTGTAAACCAACCGGCACACTATATGTACACCTATAGAAGATAGCTTGATGTTTTTATGTTTTGTTTGTTTATCTTTGTTTTTAAAAACCAATAAAATTTATTTTTTTAAAAAAGAAATAGCCTAAGAAATATTAAAAAGGCAGAACATTGTATTTCCCTGGATGAGAAAAGGATAAACATTTTTTTAAAAACAAAGAGCAGCTCCCTGCCCCCTCCTTCAGCTCCAGGGTGATGGGATTAAGACATGGCCCTCAGGACATAATAGGACTAGCCCTCTACCCATCTAACAGCAGGGCTCATTGCATTGTGAAATCACCTGGGGACATTATATCAGTCCACAGTTCAACCAAACTTATCTCAGACAAACTCCTAAGATTTGCCTTTACAGAAACCAATAGGATACATGCCCTTGCCACAGGAACAGGAAGCTCAAGGTCAAAGCCCAAGAGAGGGTATAAATAACTCTCTAGTCCATGTGGTCAGCTACCCAGAATCACACGTACTTGGTGATTCTGCTTCAACATTAAACCATCCTTCCGAGCAGCGTCCAATGTTTCCAGTGTCTTTCTCCCCACTTGGAACTGAATCCAGATGGACATTTCTTCCAACACAACCAGTAGTTTTGTAGACTATCATATTCAAATGAAAGTTTAATTTTTTTAAAATTATGATTTTAGTTCTATCATCTTAAAACAAGCAGTGGGGAGTCCTTCACCATACCCACAAAATTTTGGGACTTTTTTATGACTAACATAAAACTCACATTATTTTGAGACCCGTTACAGAAGCATGTCTGGAGCAGTTTTAGGTAACATGCCACTATCTGACTGCTCCTTCATTTGGGCAGCAAAACAAAATGCTGCAACGGATATTTATTCAAATTGCTTCATTTCCTCTCTTTCCATTTGCAAATTCCTCCCTTCCAAACTCAATAGCATCGATTTTCTTAAAAAGTTTGTGCTACAATTTGTGCATATTTCTCCTTTACATATTCATTTGCAATCTGATTTAATATGCATCGTCTAGAAGCAATTCTTCTTAGTTAATGCATTACATATCCAACGTCCATGCAAGATATATATTCCATTTAATATAGAGATATCCTTTAAACGTTGCAAGGCAAAATTTAGAGAGGTATGAATTTCTAATGATCAATGTGATTCTGTTTGGTATGTTTGCAAAATGTGAAATTAGGTAACTTTGCATTTATAAGCAGGCTAAACTGTTTCCCCCCCTGGCCTCAGCCTCTCAGCTGCTCTCTCTCCTTCCCAGCTGATCAAGGCCTGAACTGGAAAGCAGACTACCTTCTGAACCCCCTTCTTGCCCGGGGGACGGGGAGTCCCTTCACCTGGCAGAATTGACAGCGGAATCTCTGGGGGCAGCTGCTTTGGGAGAAGTGGGAATGCCACAAGGTGCCAATGTTGGTTTACGCCAAAGTCTCTGGTTTACGTCAAAGTGACAGGGCCCCCTCTGGATGGCAGCCACGGGAGAACAGAGCAGAGGTGGGAAGGTGCTGCCAAGGAAGGGCCTGGCTAGGGCTCTGCTCAGGCCCTGGAAATGGTGCTCTTGGGACCAGGAAGGCTTGCCAGCTGCAGAGAGCTGCCCACATCTGGGATCCCTGCAAGCAGCCACCCCTCTTGCTTGCTGCAGAATTTGGGCTATTTGACAGACTGCAGCTGCCTTTGCACACAGCAAGTCTATTTGAAGTGTTTGGCTTAATGTGATGTGTGGTGCAGGATCAGGGAAGGGGTGGGTGAGGCAAAATACAAGCCCGAGCAATGTTTGCAGCCTGTTCCTCTCTTCCTTTCCTTGGCAAAGCGGTTTCTTGGTGGGAGGCTGTTTGTTTGGTTAAGCGGCACCTCCTCTCCCGGCAGCAGCGACAGGGCCCGGTTGCCCACAGGTGTGGGACTGGCTGGCCTCCTCCGTCCCAGTCCAGGGGGCAGTGGAGGCCCCTTCCCTGCTGTCTTTTCGGAAGCAGGCAGCAACCCTGCTCCCCCAGAAAGGCCCTGGGTCGGCCGCAGCCTTAGTGGCAGCCGCAGGACTTCACCACCATGTTCCGCTTCTTCCTGAGGATCACGTTGTTGTTGCTGTCATAAAAGAGGACAAAGATGGCGCTGAGCTTGGTGGGGGCACAGCAGGCCCTGGGAACGGCTTCGGGCTTCATCAGGTGGACCTGTGAGGGGAGGAAGAGGGTCACCAGAGCAGGCAGGCAAAGCCTCCCACAGAGCCTCCTGCAGGGCCGAGCTTCTGGCCTGGAGCAGAAGGTCCAACCCCCCCCCCCCCCACCAGACCCCCCCACCCCGACCCCCACCCCTCCACTGCCCCCTGGCCGCTCTCCACAAGGAAGCAGAAATGCTTCAGAGAAACCCTGGTTCCCAGGAGAAAAAGTAGCGGTTTCCATGAGTGGCCATTTGTCAGCACTGGCAAAAATATTTATTCCCCAGGCTTTGGTGGGGAGGAAGAGCTGCTGCCTTCGAGCCCCAGCGGCTTCCTGGTCTCGTCTGTGGCAGGAGGGGCAGGGCCTCTTCCACGCTGCCCCTGGCGCTGGGCTGACCACCAAGGGGGCACAGTTCTTGCTAAAACTGGGGTAGGCTGTGTGCATACACCCCCCTCCCCCGGGCCAAACAAGCCACCAACAGGCCAGGTTGCTACCTGCAACTTCCCTCTCTCCGGCAGCTACTGTTGAGAGGGAGGCAATGGAAGGTTGTTGTTGCCATGGGTTGCGTCCACAATTCTCTTAAAAAGTGGGGGTTATTCAGCCGTGGCAGCCTTCTTGACCAACACTCCACAAGTGCAGAAGGAGATCAGCTCTGACCTGTGACTTGGTCCTTTGGGGAGCTCTTTGCCCCTAGCAGGCGGAGGCGTCCCCAACCTCATGCAGACGAGACCAACCCTGGCCAGGCAGCTTTTTCCCTCGGGGCCTGGGGGAAGGAATGTGATTCCCCGGGACGATTGGAGAAGGGATCCAAAAGGGGACAAAAGACGGGCCCTTTGTGTGCATCCACCTGATCCCAGACCAGCCCCTGTTGGAAGGGGACCTTAGCGAGGGGGAAGAGGGCTGCTCTTCCATCAAGAGGGGCTTGGGCGGAGACGCCCCTCCTCCTTTCAGCCCTGGAATTCTCCGGGGAAGAGCTGGGGCAGCGGAGGGGAGAAGGCGCTGGAGCTGCCCAGGAGGATTTGGGGCCAGGCGCTCCTTCCCAGCTCAGTATATTCCAGAAGAGGGTTGTTGTGGGGAAAACTGGAGGGGGGCCTTGTTTGTCCCTTAGAAGTCCTAGAGGAGAGGCAAGAGATAAATCCAACAGAAAATAGTGCAACAAAATAATACAATAGATTGCTCTCCATCTTCCCCAGTTGCTAAGAAGACTTCCTGCTGCTTCCCACAGGAGATACTGACCAGCGACTGGACAATGGCATGGTTGGTGGCATTCATGGAGGAATTCAGGGGAAAAACACACTCTCCATCGCAGTAGAAGGCGGGATAACTCTGCGGGGCGATCACCCAGTCCTGGGGGAGGATAAGGACGAAGTTAAGTCCCTCCACTCCTGCCGGCGGCTCAAAGGAAACTGATGGGGGGGGGGGGGGGCAGGGCAGTGGCCATTTCCTGAATCGTCTGATACCAGAGATACCAGAGCAAGAAGTTGTGAGGGGTTTTCAAGAAGAGGTTGGACAGCTATTTGTTTGGAATGGTCTAGGAGGGTCTCCAGCTCGAGCAGCGGTTGGACTAGAAGACCTCCGAGGTCCCTTCCAACTCTATTAGTCTGTGTTCTACACTGGGGTGGGGGGTGGGAGAGGTCAACACGTTCCTTTCACTTCCAAAAGGTTGACCCTCAAGCTGAGCAGAGCAAGCAGAGTTGCGAGAGGCCCTTTCCTCTTTGACTGGGAAACAGGCCCTGTCTGGCCTTAGGCCCTTCCCTTTCTTTGAGCCAGACGAGAGCCCCCCCCCGGGGGGGGGCGGGCAGGACGGGCAGAGGTGCCTGCCGGTTGGTATTTTCTGGGGACTCAAGAAGAACAGGGTTAAAAGTGGTTACCAGCCAATCAAAATCTTGAAACTTGACGTTCAGCTCGTGCCTTCTGCAGACCTGGCTATGCTCAGAGACATAGACATCATCTAAGGAAGGAAAAAGAGGAGGGTCTTTCCGTTACGGAGCTGCGCAACCAACGCTCCACGGTGGGATCGCCAGCCTTTTGGTCCTGGGAGGGGGAACGCGTCCCACAGCCCACTCCCTGTGCCTGGCTTGGACCTCCAGCTGTCCTGCCCCACAGCCTACCCCTGCCACTCTGGGAGATGAAGGCAGGCAAAGGCTTGGCACCAAGCGTGGCTCCATCCCTGCCCACGGCTGCTTTCCTGTGGGGCAGACCTCCCAGGCCGTGGCACTGCCTTCCAGGGCTGCCCTCTGGGGAAACCTTCCTGGGCCACAGAGCTCCCCAAAGGGGAGCAGATTTGAAGAGGCACCAGCTGAGCTGCCTCCGGATACGAGGATCGGCTCTGCAACTGGACTTCGTTAACCTTTCAGACGGGCCAAGAGGGGCGGGGGGGGGGGGGGGGGGGGGGGGGGGGGGGGGGCTGGGCCGGCAGTTCTGGGAATTGGAGTCTTTGCCTTTGCCCACCAGCCAAAGAACTGCTGCCTGATGCAGGCCATCAGATGAAAACTGCTAGCAGTCATAGCTTGGCCCACCTGCATGCCAGGTAAACGGCTGCTCTCAACTTCCTTCAGGGTTGGGGAAGTTGACAGGTGCAAAACACGTGTGTCTTCCATGTGTTTCGGGTATATTTGAGGACCAAGCAAATTCTGCTGAAATCCGGAAGGGGTGGGGTTGAATTTTTACTAGGCAGCCCAGCCAAGGAGGGCAACAAAGCTGCAGGTGGAAGAGGCTCCTTCTGCACCTCCACCCAGACTTGATCGGTGGGAAGGAGGTGGTGATGTGTCCCGGCTGCTTCTGAGCTGCCCCTTGGGGGAGCAGGAGCAGATCCAGGGTGTCCAGAATGAGGGCAGAAACATCTGGAGGGCAGCCCAGGGGTGTGATTGAGCCCCCCCCCCCGTTTCTAAAGGTGTTGTGCACAAAACAGGTGGGGCTTTGATTGCGGTGTCGCCATTTTCACTTTTTTGGACCGGACCCTGTGATTAGCTTGGTCAACCAGTCGTCCTCCCTTCTTTCTGCTTCTTACCCAAAAGTCCTGGGAGCCTGTGGGAGTGTGGGAAGCTGTAGGTCTTCTTGGGCCGTCGTTTGGCCTGCTTGGCTGCTCGAGGGAGCCTGACCTGGTTTTCACTCTCCTGAAAAAAGGTCACCACGAAGGGCTGCTTGGAACGTGGTCCGTGGCGACCCAAGAGGCCGGCCATTCCGGGGTCCACACTCTCTCCTTCAAAAGCCAAAGAACAAACCCCGATTAGACTGCCAGCCAGACTGACAATGGAGCTCCTTCCCTCCCTGACGCAGGAGATAGAAACGCAGGAGAGCAGGAGATAGAAACTTCTAATTAATGCTGCAAGGGTCTAATTAATGCAAGGATAACAGTTATTTCTGAATAAACGCTGTAGAACGGAGTGGGAGTAGGCAACGGGATGATGTAGTACCGTACTGTTTTAACTGCCTTGGAGAATGTCTGTTTAATTCAATCCCTAGCTGGTTGAAGAAAACCTCAGCGGAATTACGGAGCGATAAGGAAGCAGCAGCTTTTGATATCTTCACATATCAACGTTATTGTCCATTCTTTTAGATCAACGGTCCCCAACCTTTCTGGCTCCGTGGACTGGCAGCAGCAGAGGCGGCGACGGGAGGGAGGGAGGGAAGGGGTTCGCGCATGCCCACCACTTGCACAAATGAAACTTCGCCGCTCACCTGCCACTTGCAAGGACTGGTTCCCAACAGGCCGCAGACTGGTACCAGTCCACGGACCAGGGGTTGAGGACTCTTGAACTTAGATGAACCAAAGTTTCTGTTTACTAAGTTGGTATCTTCTCCCTCTTACCTGCAATCCCCCACGAGTGTCTCCTTCCTTCAAACAGGAAGGATGGAAAACCAGAATGGGCAAAACAATACATGAGCCTTACCATCCTCTGTCTCCACGTAAAGCCTCAACCCCAAATTGTACTTCCGGTTCAACAACCAGTGGTTGCTAGCAGCTGTGACATCGAAGGTCAGCCATCCGTCCAGGCCAGCCAGAAATTCCTGAAGGTCTAAGAACATGAGCTCAGATTCCCTGGAGGAGCAGAAAGCATATCGGAGCCCCTCAGGTTCACATGAAAGGGGCAAGTGGGCAGGTGTCACCGGCGGGCTTTAGCTCTTGTGTGGTTTAAAAGAGGAAGGAAGCCAATCCCACCCACCCATCCCTGGCCTTTCAGCAGCGCCTTCCAGGCTGAGAGAGCCACTCTTGGGTTGATCCCGCCAGGGCAAGCCAGGGACAAGAACCACCATTCTTGCCTTCCCACATTCCTAAATTCTGACCAAGGAAAGTGAGTCAAGGAGGCTCTGGGCAGGGCTGGTCCAGCTGCAGGACTGCTACATGGCCCACCAATCTTCAGGGACACCAATAAACCAGCAGGCGGTGGCTCTTCGGACAAACACAGCTGAAGGCCCTGCGCTCATCCCTTGTTGAACAGGGGAAAGATGGAAGTGCCTAGAATTGGTCCTCGACTCACCCTCCCTCCTTTAACACGCATTCAAAGTTACAGCGGACCCCAAAAAGTGAGTCATGACGAGTTCTCACATTTGCAACTGCAGCAGCATCCACATAGCCACGTGATCAAAATTCGGCCGCTTGGCAACTGGCATGTACTTTTGTCAGCTGTGGCATCCCGTGAACACCATTGGCAGCCCTTCCAGCTTCTGACCAGCAAAGCCCATGCAGGAAGTTAGAATCACTTAATAGCTGCAGTGACTCACTTAACAACCCTGGCATGGATCCTCCTTGTTTAACAACCCTGGCATGGATTCTCCTTGTTTAACTCCCCCTTAACAGCCCTGGCATGGATCTCCAAGTTTCAATTGCAAATGTTTGACTTTTGCTGTTTTAATTTTTGCATTTTCTGATATTTATTAATAGATGGATAAAGTTTTCAAACGTTTATCCTCTTGGAAGCAAGGGATGCTCTGCTTCTTCACTGGGAGAGGAGGAGAAGTAAAAGGAACCAAGCAGAGCGTCTCCTTGACATTGGCTGGCCAGAAGAAGAATTCCCCCTGGTGGCTCCTTTGTGCGCATGCAAGCGAAATGTTTAACCAGGGAAACAGGGGCTGGAGCCACCGCCCCGTCACCAAGGCCTGAAATCAAAAGTTTGGGTCTCTTTGTACCTGTTTGGGTGCTCCTGGATGACCTCGTAAATGCTGATGTGAAGGGTCTGATTAACATGGCAGGTGTAACTTTTCATCTTGTAGATTCGGAATTCCGCCGCCATGACAGTCTCCCCTGTTGGGATCTGAGTTAAGTCGAACCTGAATTCTTTCCAGTAAGGCCTCTTCTGGAAAATGCCTCTGTCCAGCTCCACTGAACAGAGTTGCACACATCAAAAAAGCAAAGGCGTTTATTTGGCCTCCATTATTTACATTCTCTGCTTCAAATAAACTCTCAAAGTACAGATTTACAAACTTTTAAAAGTAACATCCAAATTCAACTAATAATAATGGTTAATTAAAAGCAACGCAGTAGACTAATATATACATTTGGAAGGCTAAGAGAAAGTACAGTGAGTGGGTCGGACGAATTTTAGTTGGACAAACTAAAATAATGATATCTACCTTGTAAAAAAAGAGCAGTTGATTGCAAATAGAATATGAGAAAGCATGCGATGTGGTTGCATAAAAGGCAAATGCAATTATAATCTACTGAATTAAAAGTTTCCAAAATTAGGATTCTATTATATATTATAATTTGGGTGGGAAAAAATGGTGAAGTTACTGGGCTAGAAACCAGGATGCTGTGAATCCTAATCCTGCAACAGGCATGAAAGCCAGCTGAAGGACTTTAGGCCAGTCCCTCTCTCTCAGCCCACAATGTCAGGCTGTGGAGACAATTAAATGGTTCTCGAAACCAATGGATCAACACCCGGTTGGTCTGAAAAAATTGGACCTGCATTTACAGGGAAATACTTGAAAGAAAAAGAAAAACCCTACAATTTGAACAGGAAAGACAACCATAAGGCAGAGATAAGGTTACTGTAAAATCTCTTTTAGGGAGCACTCTTCCCTACTAATCTACAGCAGGGGTTCCCAAACTTGGCAACTTTAAGACTTGTGGACTTCATAACCATAGCTGGCTAGAGAATTCTGGGAGTTGAAGTCCACAAGTCTTAAAGTTGCCAAGTTTGGGGACCCCTGCTGTACAATAATACCTGTAAAAACCCTGAGATCAGGTTCTGATCGAATAGGTGGATTTTTCTGGATTGTCTCTCCCAGTTTGCAGGTGACAGGAACAAAGTAAGCAAAAGCAAATTCCTGTTCAGAGAAGTTTACAGTTTGTCAGGTCTGCCATCATATCACTTCAGCTCTGATTCTCTTAAAACAGCGTCCTGCCATAAAAGGAGGGAGGGAGGGAGGGAGGGAGGGAGGAGGAAGGGGATAGGGGGGCGGGGGGGGGGAATGACAGGATGACAGGAGCCAGAGGGGCCAGTCCAGAATAGAACCTGGCAGATCCAAGGACACAAATGGGAGAACAGCTGGTCATTTGCATTCTTTTAAAGCACCGTTGGGGTCACTTGAAGGTTTTTCTGTGTCCTCCAAGTGGCCTCAATGACTCACTAAAAGAATGCAAATTCTGTCTGCAAGGAGTATAAATCTTTCCATTCCCCATCATCCAGTCAGAGCTGAGAGCGAAACTTCTTCAAAGAAAAACCAAGGGAAAAAACACCTTTGGGACAACTGTGGCCTGGAGCAGGAGTCCCCAACCTTTTTTGCACCAGGGACCAGTTTCACTCAGAAACACTTTTTCAAGGACCGGGCGGTGGGGGGGTGGGTGGGAAGAGATGACACTTTTTCAAGGAGAGGAAGGAATCCGAGTTTGGTGGTTTGCTTGCAGACGCTTCATTACCTGACTAGATAACATCTGATGTTGTTACCTAGTCGGGTAATAAAATGTCTGCCAGCAAACCACCAAGTTCAGGGAGGCTCAGGACAAGTCCCTGCAGGATGGCTGAGAAGCCCCCCTTCTCAGCCCTGCCTCCCTCAGCCTCATCCCTCAGGTGTCTCCCTCCCTCCCTCCCTCAGCCTTATCCCTCAGGTGTCTCCCTCCCTCCCTCCCTCCGCCTCATCCCTCAGGTGTCTCCCTCCCTCCCTCCCTCCCTCAGCCTTATCCCTCAGGTGTCTGCCTCGTTCCTCTCTCAGTCGCTCTCTCGCTCCTCCACCAGCCCAGG